ATTGGTGGGACAACAATGTGTCAGCACATCAGCCTTGCTTACTAGTAGCTACTCCGATTATGCAAGCAAAAACTTTTGTGGGAAACGCAAGAAATCCGGAAAGTATAGGTGTCGAAAGCGCCTTTTTTGCCACTCAAAAACATTTGCTTTGAGAAGTAATGAAAGAAAAGTCATCACAATTTTTCTGAAAATGAAAAGCAAGTTTTGTAGAGCAAAATTTGCTCTTCTGAATGGTGCCAATACTTTACCGTAAACCAACCGCTTCACGAGAAAATGACGATAAAAATAAAAACGCTATGAACTTCTGGGACTACCTGATATAACACCTTTTTCCACTTTTTAGGTTTGTCAACTATCTTCAACACTTCAATCGCTTGTTCTCTATGATTTCATGATAGAACATCTTGACGAAGACGCACGTTTGCTCTTTTTGTCTTCATGGTTGCCATCCAATCTGGCCGCTTATGCAGCGAGAAATACGGCGGTAAGGTCTACTCATTTTTTATGATCTCAATTTGTCATGTGTAAATTTTCCATAGGACACAGAAATGTTTCAGGGTTTTGTGATTGCAGAGCTCATCAATCTAATCAGGGATGTACATTTCCGGATAACAACGCAAAATGTCAAACGCCCAGAAATTCGCCATGTAGAGTGGGCGATTGACAAGCGGAATGCAAGTTTTGCAGATGCCATAGGGGCTCCGAAGGTTTGTTATTTTTCTTCAAAAAAAAAACAGAAATTGCGAATGCCTATGCAGATTCCCAGCGTTTCTTGGGAGGATGTCGGAGGCCTTGAAGAAACGAAGCGTGTTGTGATAGAAAGTATCGAGTCAAATCTGCATGGCACTGGACTCAAAAGATCAGGAGTAATCTTCTTTGGACCCCCAGGCTGTGGAAAGACACTAATTGCTAAAGGTGACAGGTGCAATTGGACTTTGCCTCAAATAATTCACTCAGAGTCTAGCTGTGGCAACTGAGTTTAAAATCGCTTTTTTGAACGTCAAAGGACCGGAACTGCTGAACAAATATGTTGGTCAAAGTGAAGAAAATCTTCGAAAAGGTAGATGAAACACCCAAAACAGCATAATACAGCATTTCCTTGTAGTCTTTGAAAGAGCTCGGCAAGCATCGCCCTGTGTTATATTCTTCGATGAGCTGGATTCTTTGGCGCCAAGTCGAGGACGAAGCGGAGATTCTGGGGGTGTTGCTGACAGGTGGGTTAGGCGCTGGTAGCATATCCAAGTCTGTTAGTGAAGAAGGCAAAAATTCTACTAAAAGTTTTTGCTTTCTATTCCGTCTCCTAAATAGTTGATCGGAAGTTCGGCTGGACACCCAGAAAATGAACCTTCCGCAACCCCCTACGCAAGCTGCGAAAGTTTCCATTTCCAGTCAGTCTGACTCAAATTTCTGCAGTTTCGGCGCACTTCTTTGATAGTAAATAGTAAACCAAAACGGAACACTTGCAGATTGTTCTTGTCAGGCAAAAGTTCCCGGAAGTTGTCTGAGACTGTCTAATAGGTAGAATCGGTTTGACTCGATTTTTTCCTGAAAGAATGGAGACCTATGAAATAAATGAAATGTGTGTTCAAACGAAATTTGCTTTTTGCGAATAAAAAAATCTTTCTATGCTAAAGCTCTAAATCTCGCTGCAGTAGCTGCATTTCCCTTCGCTACTAATAATTCTTTATTACCTAAAACTCACCATAAAGTAATTAGCTTAATATTGTTTCAGAATAGTTTCACAACTACTGGCAGAACTCGACAGTTTGCATCAATCGCCCCATATCAAGGTGTTTGTCATGGCCGCTACCAACAGAGCAGATCTGTTAGATCCAGCATTGCTAACTCCTGGAAGGTACTAGGTTACATAAATGCACGTGAGCATTTGACTAAACTCGTTTTTTGAAGATTCGATAAAATCATCGAGGTCAAGCCTGGAACAGATGTGGAGTCAAAGGTGAAAATTTTGGAAGCGGTGACGCGAAAGTTACACTTGGCGAAGGATGTGGACTTGCATGCAGTGGTAAGACATCTTCATAATGTCGTATTTGTGCGCCTAACAAACCATGATTGAAGTCCTGCTCAGGCTGAACAGTGCGGCGAAATAGCGACTGGAGCTGAGATGTACGGACTGGTATCAGCAGTAGTACTTGAGGCGGTACGTGAACAGGTGAGGCAATTTTTGGGCGGATTTGGCATATCGCTATAGTTAGTTGTGAAGTTAACACCTCGATTTGTTTGATCTCACGAGCTGCTGAAATGTCAACTGGTTGAAAATTAGCGAGTTGTAATTCAATAGATTTGTGAGGGGGAGGGGTTTCACTATAAGGTGGGTGGCAATAGTTGGCAATAATGGGCGAAAATCAGTGGCGTCAGCCATGCACTTCGGACTATTCTTTGAAGTCTTCCAAAATTTTTTGCGGGCTCATAACCTCAAATTTTGGAAAAAGGCGGCAGCTACGCCCTCGAAAAATTCTTTACATAGGGTTAATTTGAATTTTTTTGCATTTTGAGAATCGTTGTGGTTATTCACAAATCGTTTGTACATTTTTCTTACCCATGTACAGTTGAGTAGATTTTCTGCTCAATATAGCGGGCTTGCACTATAGGTGAGATGCGGTAAAATTTGTGCGTGAAGATATAGTCACGTCAGTAATGCCAACATTTTGCGCGAGCAATTGGCCGGCGTCGCAGGCTTAATTTGTTCACGCGTAAATTTTACTCCATTTCACCTGTAGTGCGGGCACACTATATTAAGCGGAAAATC